ACAACCGTCTGAAATGCCCTAGATGGGTCCCCTAACAACCGTCTGAAATGCCCTAGAGGTCGCCTAACAACCGTCTGAAATTGCCCTAATGGGTCGCTAACAACCATCTGAAATTCCCTAATGGGTCGCCAACAACCGTCTGAAAATGCCCTAGGGTCGCCTAACAACCGTCTGAAAATGCCCTAATGGGTCGCCTAACAACCCGTCTGAAATTCCCCTAATGGGTCGCCCTAACAACCCGTCTGAAATGCCCTAATGGGTCGCCTAACAACCGTCTGAAATGCCCTAATGGGTCGCCTAACAACCGTCTGAATGCCCTAGAGGGTCGCCTAACAACCGTCTGAAATGCCCTAATGGGTCGCCTAACAACCGTCTGAAATGCCCTAATGGGTCGCCTAACAACCGTCTGAAATGCCCTAATGGGTCGCCTAACAACCGTCTGAAATGCCCTAATGGGTCGCCTAACAACCGTCTGAAATGCCCTAATGGGTCGCCTAACAACCGTCTGAAATGCCCTAATGGGTCACCTAACAAACCGTCTGAAATGCCCTAATGGGTCGCCTAACAACCGTCTGAAATGACCTAATGGGTCGCCTAACAACCGTCTGAAATGCCCTAGAGGGTCGCCTAACAACCGTCTGAAATGCCCTAAGGGTCGCCTAACAACCGTCTGAAATGCCCTAATGGGTCGCCTAACAACCGTCTGAAATGCCCTAATGGGTCGCCTAACAACCGTCTGAAATGCCCTAATGGGTCGCCTAACAACCGTCTGAAATGCCCTAATGGGTCGCCTAACAACCGTCTGAAATGCCCTAATGGGTCGCCTAAACAACCGTCTGAAATGCCCTAATGGGTCGCCTAACAACCGTCTGAAATGCCCTAATGGGTCGCCTAACAACCGTCTGAAATGCCCTAGAGGGTCGCCTAACAACCGTCTGAAATGCCCTAATGGGTCGCCTAACAACCGTCTGAAATGCCCTAATGGGTCGCCTAACAACCGTCTGAAAAGTGACCCTATGAGGGTCGCCTAACAACCGTCTGAAATGCCCTAATGGGTCGCCTAACAACCGTCTGAAATGCCCTAATGGGTCGCCTAACAACCGTCTGAAATGCCCTAATGGGTCGCCTAACAACCGTCTGAAATGCCCTAGAGGGTCGCCTAACAACCGTCTGAAATGCCCTAGAGGGTCGCCTAACAACCGTCTGAAATGCCCTAATGGGTCGCCTAACAACCGTCTGAAATGCCCTAATGGGTCGCCTAACAACCGTCTGAAATGCCCTAATGGGTCGCCTAACAACCGTCTGAAATGCCCTAATGGGTCGCCTAACAACCGTCTGAAATGCCCTAGAGGGTCGCCTAACAACCGTCTGAAATGCCCTAATGGGTCGCCTAACAACCGTCTGAAATGCCCTAAGGGTCGCCTAACAAACCGTCTGAAATGCCCTAGAGGTCGCCTAACAACCGTCTGAAATGCCCTAATGGGTCGCCTAACAACCGTCTGAAATGCCCTAAGGGTCGCCTAACAACCGTCTGAATGCCCTAATGGGTCGCCTAACAACCGTCTGAAATGCCCTAATGGGTCGCCTAACAACCGTCTGAAATGCCCTAATGGGTCGCCTAACAACCGTCTGAAATGCCCTAATGGGTCGCCCTCAACAAAACCCTCTGAAATTCCTCAATTCTAAGTGCCTGGAGATCACCACCGTAACGTGCAAAAAAAGACAACAGCACCTAACCACCGCTAAACCTACCGAACCTACAACCTAAACCTCAACCAAACCTACCGAACCACTAACACCTAACTACTAACTACTAAACAAACGACCTAACCTACAACCCCGAAACCTACACCTAACCCACCTAACCTACCTAACCTACACAACCGACCAAATCTACGAGTAGAGAACGAAACCCAAGTTATCACATACCGAGACCGTGCTTCAGTTACTCCAGCCATAACTGACAATGAAGTAAGGTCGGTACCAGGGCCAACATAAGAGAGAAGATCATAAGGGTTAGTCACCACGAAGGTCAGTGAAGTGTTGTTTTACAGGGTCACCATAGTAGTATGATAGATGCAGTGAAATGTGTTGTTTACAGGGTCAGCCATAGTAGTATGATAGATGCAGTGTAAGTGTGTGTTTACCGGTCAGCCATAGTAGTATGATAGGTCCTGTAATGTGTTGTTTACAGGGTCAGCATAGTATGATAGTGCATGAAATGTGTTGTTTACAGGGTCAGCCATAGTAGTAGATGTGCAGTGTAATGTGTTGTTTTACAGGGTCAGCCATAGTAGTATGAGGTCCAGTGTAATGTTTGTTTACAGGGTCAGCCATAGTAGTATGATAGGTGCCAGTGTAATGTGTTGTTTTACAGGGTCAGCCATAGTAGTATGATAGTGTCAGTGTAATGTGTTGTTTTACAGGGTCAGCCATAGTAGTATGATAGGTCCAGTTAATGTGTTGTTTACAGGGTCAGCCATAGTAGTATGATAGGTCCAGTGTAATGTGTTGTTTTACAGGGTCAGCCATAGTAGTATGATAGGTCAGTGTAATGTGTTGTTTTACAGGGTCAGCCATAGTAGTATGATAGGTGCAGTGTAAATGTGTTGTTTTACAGGGTCAGCCATAGTAGTATGATAGATGCAGTGTAATGTGTTGTTTTACAGGGTCAGCCATAGTAGTATGATAGTGCAGTGTAATGTGTTGTTTTACAGGGTCAGCCATAGTAGTATGATAGGTCCAGTGTAATATGTTGTTTTACAGGGTCAGCCATAGTAGTATGATAGGTGCCAGTGTAATGTGTTGTTTTACAGGGTCAGCCATAGTAGTATGATAGGTGCAGTTGTAATGTGTTTTTTTACAGGGTCAGCCATAGTAGTATGATAGGTCCAGTGTAATGTGTTGTTTACAGGGTCAGCCATAGTAGTATGATAGGTGCAGTGTAATGTGTTGTTTACAGGGTCAGCCATAGTAGTATGATAGGTGCAGTGTAATGTGTTGTTTACAGGGTCAGCCATAGTAGTATGATAGGTCAGTGTAATGTGTTGTTTACAGGGTCAGCCATAGTAGTATGATAGGTGCAGTGTAATGTGTTGTTTACAGGGTCAGCCATAGTAGTATGATAGGTCAGTGTAATGTGTTGTTTTACAGGGTCAGCCATAGTAGTATGATAGGTGCAGTGTAATGTGTTGTTTTACAGGGTCAGCCATAGTAGTATGATAGGTCCAGTGTAATGTGTTGTTTTACAGGGTCAGCCATAGTAGTATGATAGGTGCAGTGTAATGTGTTGTTTTACAGGGTCAGCCATAGTAGTATGATAGGTGCAGTGTAATGTGTTGTTTACAGGGTCAGCCATAGTAGTATGATAGGTCCAGTGAAATGTGTTGTTTTACAGGGTCAGCCATAGTAGTAGGATGAGCCAGTGTAATGTGTTGTTTTAAGGTCAGCCATCGTTAGTGGAAGCGTGCCAGTGAATGTGTGTTACAGGGACAGCAGTATGTAGATAGGTGCAGTAATGTGTTTAAAACAGGGTCAGCAATGTATATGATAGGTGCACGTGTAATGGTGTTACAGGTTCACCATAGTAGCATGATAGGTGCAGTGTAACTTGTTGTTACAGGGCAACCATTGTAGTAGATAGGTTGCGTGTTTTTAAGTGTTTACAGGGTCAGCCATTCGAGATAGGTGCACGTAAGTTGTTTACAGGGTCAGCCATAGTAGTATGATAGGTCCAGTGAATGTTGTTACAGGGTCAGCATGTAGTATGATAGGTGCCAGTGTAATGTGTTGGTTTACTGGGTCAGCCATAGTAGTACAGCGCCCCTGGAGCAAATTAGGGTTAAGTGCCTTGCTCCTGTGGAGAGACGCGCCAGTGGAGAAAGACATGCAATACTGTAAATTACAGTAACACTGATTCAAAACAGAGATGTACATCAATGACATTAACACTGATTCAAAACAGAGATGAACATCAAATCACAACAATACAAGACATACCACTTTTGCATTCCACAAAATTGTACAAAGTCTCTGTTTTTCAACTAAATACAAAACCCTTCAGGTGCACACATATCATATATGTACACACTGCTATGACGGTACACTACACACTGCTATGAAGCTATACAGGGTTACAGGGTTACACTACACACTGCTATGAAGCTATACAGGGTTACAGGGTTACACTACACACTGCTATGAAGCTATACAGGGTTAAAGGTTACACTACACACTGCTATGAAGCTATACAGGGTTAAAGGTTACACTACACACTGCTATGAAGCTATACAGGGTTACAGGGTTACACTACACACTACTATGAAGCTATACAGGGTTACAGGGTTACACTACACACTGCTATGAAGCTATACAGGGTTAAAGGTTACACTACACACTACTATGAAGCTATACAGGGTTACAGGGTTACACTACACACTGCTATGAAGCTATACAGGGTTACAGGGTTACACTACACACTGCTATGAAGCTATACAGGGTTACAGGGTTACACTACACACTGCTATGAAGCTATACAGGGTTAAAGGTTACACTACACACTGCTATGAAGCTATACAGGGTTACAGGGTTACACTACACACTGCTATGAAGCTATACAGGGTTACAGGTCACAGTGTACAGTACACACATGTTGTCACTGTTAATTAGATGGCCATCAGTTCCCTGAGTGGGGTGTGGAGAGGCTCAGTGACAGCGTCATCAGTCTTCGGGGAGGTAGAGTGGATGGGCTCAGTCTCCTAGGTAGAGTGGATGGGCTCAGTCTCCTAGGTAGAGTGGATGGGCTCAGTCTCCTAGGTAGAGTGGATGGGCTCAGTCTCCTAGGTAGAGTGGATGGGCTCAGTCTCCTAGGTAGAGTGGATGGGCTCAGTCTCCTAGGTAGAGTGGATGGGCTCAGTCTCCTAGGTAGAGTGGATGGGCTCAGTCTCCTAGGTAGAGTGGATGGGCTCAGTCTCCTAGGTAGAGTGGATGGGCTCAGTCTCCTAGGTAGAGTGGATGGGCTCAGTCTCAGCAGAGGTGGTATGGATGGATTCAGCCTGGTGGTCCATGGGGTGGTCCAGTGGTGGATGCTGCTCCAGGGAGGAAGAGTGGGGGTGGGATAACAGGAGGGGGTCTTCTGGGGCGGGAGGAGGAGCTGGGGGTGGGACTAACAGGAGGGGTTCTTCTGGGGCTGGGAGGAGGAGCTGGGGGTGGGACTAACAGGAGGGGGTCTTCTGGGGCTGGGAGGAGGAGCTGGGGGTGGGACTAACAGGAGGGGGTCTTCTGGGGCTGGGAGGAGGAGCTGGGGGTGGGACTAACAGGAGGGGTCTTCTGGGGCGGGAGGAGAGGAGCTGGGGTGGGACTAACAGGAGGGGGTCTTCTGGGGCTGGGAGGAGGAGCTGGGGTGGGACTAACAGGAGGGGGTCTTCTGGGTCTGGGAGGAGGAGCTGGGGGTGGGACTAACAGGAGGGGGTCTTCTGGGTCTGGGAGGAGGAGCTGGGGGTGGGACTAACAGGAGGGGGTCTTCTGGGTCTGGGAGGAGGAGCTGGGGGTGGGACTAACAGGAGGGGGTCTTCTGGGGCTGGGAGGAGGAGCTGGGGGTGGGACTAACAGGAGGGGGTCTTCTGGGTCTGGGAGGAGGAGCTGGGGGTGGGACTAACAGGAGGGGGTCTTCGGGGCTGGGAGGAGGAGCTGGGGGTGGGACAACAGGAGGGGTCTTCTGGGGCTGGGAGGAGGAGGAGCTGGGGGTGGGACTAACAGGAGGGGGTCTTCTGGGTCTTGGGCTGGAAGGAAGAGGAGGTCTCCTCAGAACCACTATCTGAGCACTGGGTCCAGGAGGAGTAGGGTGCTCAACTCGTCTTCACTGTAGCCCACCACTGGTACCCCGTTCACCTCCACCAATCTAGAGGAGATTATACCACAGGTTGGGCCTTACACACAGCTGGCACAGAAACAACTCCCTCTACATCAAGTGTATTACTGTATTGCAATTTACCATCTGTTATGACAACCTGTAACCACAAGCACCTGGCTCTCCCTCACTGTCGGCAGCACCTGGCTCACCCTCACTGTCAGCAGCACCTGGCTCTCCCTCACTGTCGGCAGCACCTGGCTCACCCTCACTGTCAGCAGCACCTGGCTCACCCTCACTGTCGGCAGCACCTGGCTCACCCTCACTGTCGGCAGCACCTGGCTCACCCTCACTGTCAGCAGCACCTGGCTCACCCTCACTGTCTGCAGCACCTGGCTCACCCTCACTGTCGGCAGCACCTGGCTCTCCCTCACTGTCGGCAGCACCTGGCTCACCCTCACTGTCAGCAGCACCTGGCTCACCCTCACTGTCGGCAGCACCTGGCTCTCCCTCACTGTCAGCAGCAGTGCCTAAACATGGTCCTTTTAGTCATGGTCAGGACAGGTTTTTAGTCATGGTCAGGCCAGGTTTTAGTCATGGTCAGGCCAGGGTTTTAGTCATGGTCAGGACAGGTTTTTAGTCATGGTCAGGACAGGTTTAATAAATTCAGGCCAGGTTTTTAGTCTTGGTCAGGCCAGGTTTTAGTCATGGTCAGGACAGGTTTTAGTCATGGCCAGTACA